TCAAAGACTGAAAAGAGTATCATCAGTGTTAGACCCTTTCATAAATTATCAGAGCATGGATAGCTAAAGATATCACACAGTTTTCACTCTATTCAGAAACATGCACTGTCCATCCACTGCATTTTTGTAGTTAGAGATTGCCAGCAGACAGCAGCAAGGGGTGAGTGCTAGGTGGACAAACAGTCTAGTTAACATTTCTACATCCCTCCAGAAGCAGATATTTGTCCTGTGTCTTATTGGAACAATGTAGAAATTTCAAGTGAGTTGAAGCATGGGAGTCAGCTGACAAACTGCAGTGGGTAAAAGGAAACGCGGAAATGGGGCGAGGTGCATCTATCTAGACCTCAGTTTTTCAGACATTTGTGAATAATATCATCCCAGGCAAGCCACACACCTCAGAAGGACCACTTCCAAGGAGGAACTTAGGGCGTTATATCAATGGAAGCAGTTTCTAGACCGTTTATAAAAGCAAACTAGGAGCAGCATTTAATCATACCCTGAAAAAAATGGAAACATTCCAGGAAAAACGCATAAATCAAATTACTGAATATTATGAGTAATTTCAGCAAACTTTTATGTTGCTATCACAGAACTCAAGGAATAGAATCAGGCTTTCCCTTCAGAAGTAGCTCTAATTGTCTCTCATCAATTCACTGGTTCTTAGTCCAAAAGCTGAGGAGTGACTAAGTGTCCCTGTGTGATGAAGGAATCTTTGAAATTCCTTTGTGATGCTCTGATGATTGCATACTTTTCTTCCCATGAGAGATAACTATGATATTCACTTTCCTGATGACTAATTCCTTACTTGACTTTATCTTCTTTCATCTGCTTTCATACTCCTGAAAATAAACTTTTGTTTTCCTTGTTTTAAAACCTTTTTTATAAGTGCCATCTAGGTTGGACAGAACTATATTTTATTCATTCTATTAGATATGTGATCTTCCATTTCCCATTTGATTTGCCATTTTTTTTACCTACCTTACCTATTGTGGACAATTGGAATATCTCTAATTGGAGTCATTAAGACCAATGCTGACAAGAGTGTTATGATAAATGCATTTGGCTCCATACTTAAGTGAATATTTCTGGGGTAGTTACACATGAATGGGAATTTCTTCATTATATAGGAAATTGTTTCTTTTCTAGGTATGATAAAATACTTTACAATGTGGCTTTTGCATTGCACAAAACTTCTCATTGTTTTATATGTTCACCAAAGATTTCTAAACATTTGGTTTTGTCAGATTTATTAACATTTGCTAGTCTGATCGAAATAGGGTAAGAACTCATTATAATTTTAATTTACACTTTATTGGTGATGAATGAAATTGTGTGTCTCCTCATATATTAATTTGCCATTTGGAAACTTCCTTTTGTGAAATTCATGTTCAAAATTTTTGTCTGTTCTTTTATTGGAATGCCTTTCTTTAATAGTGTGTAATTTAATTTATATATTAATAAAGATTCTGAAGGATGAATGGTCAGGGTTTGAGACACACCAGCAACCAGAAGGGAATGCAGCAACTGAAGGTTTTTTCATAAACCTTTAATGTAATTAGCTGGCACAAATTATTCATCAGACAAATTGGACCTAAGCATATGCCCATAACTGCTGCTAGTTATATGCTCAAGTGCCCAGATCAATTAATAATACTAATAGCAGTAGCTAAAATTCATCATACTATTACCATGTGCATGACATTGGGTCAAGCATCTAGCATATAGATTATCAACTTATCTTAGTAGCTTTATATAGAATGTATTATAAGACTTAGAGTTTTAAATACCTTTCATTATGACTCAACTAGCAAATGATGTGGCTGGGAGTTGATCAATTAATCTGACTTCAGAGCCTATGCTCTGATCTTAATTACTATTCTTTCTCAAACGGAAGTAGTCATCAGTAGTTCCATTTGAAAGAGAATATAATCAAGTATTCAATTTAGAACTGGTAAAATTTCTATTTCCCTAAAAATATAATGCATTACAAAGAATGCTGAGAAAGAGGAAACAGACTTGAACAGAGCTTTCTATGTGCACTTATGTTTCTATCACAGTAAATATAGGAATGGGTAAATATAGACACTTTAGCTTATTATTGCCATATATGTCAATAAACATTTTATACATCTTGAATGAATAAAATCAGATGTTCTGATTCAGACTCATTTTTAGGTTAAAAATCATGAAATAAATGATGGCAATTCTAACCCAGTATTAAAAAGCTTTTACCCTAAATGATATCACACTCAGCTCCTGGGAGAGAACAAGACAGAGTCTCCTACCCTATGCCTGACTGTCTCCACCAGGGCCCAACAGCTGAAGACCACCGAGGCCCAGCCAAGGCCATGCTGAGAGCACTCTCCACACACTTGGATGAGCCTCATGCATAAAAGAGCTGACAGAGGAACCCAGGTGTGTGGGACCCGGGGCTGAGATCTCCAAGCCTGTACAGTTTGGGACTGGACCTGCCAGTAACTAGACAGTTACACCCACCAACTGCCGTGTAACTCCAACAACGGCCAGGATCCAGAGATCATCACACTCAGCTCCCGGAAGCGCGTGGCCGCATTCGCGGCCGCGTGACATCTTATCATCTCATTCCTAATTCGGTCAAACTGGCAGGCTACCAAATGTAACATGCCCACACGGCAGAGTCTGGCAAACTCCCCATGGTATACCCAATATGCCAAATACCAGTAACAATGATGGGTCTCATTCTCCTAACCCTGAAAAAGCCTTGAATATGGCACTTTAAAAAAAAAATGTCAGGGCTAGGACGAAGAAGACGTTACTGGCACCTGCTCGAGGCAATCGACAAACAACAGGGTGGTCGTGATCGTGATCGTGACCCTAAATGATCAAACCAAAGAAAATAGACTATCCAAATTATTGAATTTGGACCTTAAAAGAGCTCTCTAGTCATTCATAAGAAAATGCAACTAAAAATGTTCAAAAATAAAATTTTAAATACGCCGATTCTCGGACTAGATCCCAGAGGTCTATGGGAAGGTAAGCTTTGATTTTCAAGCTAAATATTAAAACTGTTGGAAGAGAAAAAGAATTGTGAATATTTAAAGCAAAATTTGCAAAAATGTGACCCAGACTTTGAAAAGGTAACAAGAATTCAGAACTGAGCAACAATTCATGATGTCAGTGGTGGATTCTGAGATAATTGATGTCGTGAGCTTTAATTCAGAAAGGCACCCACCATCTTCCCAGGAAACATTTTATCCCTGGTTTTTAGGGAACCTTCTGGCTTGCACGTGCTTGCGGGTCACATTTGGCTTCTAAAATTGTCCTCTTTCACCCACTGAGACGTTATTCAGGTTTATGGTTTCATTGAAAGAATAATTTTGAAGGCCTTCCTTCTTCTAGGCTGAGCTTTAATCCTCTACTTTCCTCTCATCCTACTTGATTGATTAAATCAAGTCTGTGTCTAGAAGGAGAAGTCTGAGCTGTTATATACTGCTTTCTGGAAAGTCACATTTTTATGCTTTGCAGAACAGATGCAGCCTTATAACTGTGTACAACAAGCTTTCAGATCCGTAAATCTCGGAGCTGACAGGTAGAGTGTTTCATTTTACTGTTTAATGAGTTTAGATGCCTATAATGATTACGCTGCTGTCTGATGAATTTGGTTCAGTAACAGTATCTGACCTCTTGCATTGCATTTCACAACTTACAAGGTGAAAAAAATTACCCTGCTCATTTATTTATATATGTTTTTATCTACATTGTCTTATTTATTCTTTACAGCATCATTTTTGGAAGACAGTGCCTTATCACCACCCACGTTAACCATGAGACTGCAACCATTGCCCAATATTTCAATATTGTAATTCAAACCTAGATGCTTATACCAATTTTCTTCCACAATTCACATAATATACTCAAGGTTGAAAAATCATAGATAATTTCCAAAAGGACCTGTATTACCAATGTGTTCTAAATCCAGAAAATGAATGGTGATATAAATGTCACATCATGGCTCACTTGAACAGAAAAAAACAAAGCATAAGCCATTTCAATGTTTTCTCTAGGATAAGAAGTTTAGGAGAAAATTGTCAGGATAGCTTTGAGAAGCCCTAGAAGGGATCAGTCACACACCAGGAAGGTAAGTTACATATGCCTAGTGAGCTCAATGCATTTGTCCCACCTTCTAATTCGGTTTACATGTATAGGTGAGCTTTCTCCAACCACAAAATCCTAGAAGGCAGGTGTTTTAATTTGATTTTCCCCAGAAGCAGATGAACTGAACATTCAAGTGTACACAAATTACTTAGGAGAGTGAAACTCCAGGGTTGGGTGAAGAATGGAAGGGGCAGTGTGGGGAAAAGATGATGGCCAAACACAACATCATTGACCCAGCTGCCACTGGGAGCACAGCCCCAAGAGGAAATCTGAACACAGTGTAAAATCCCACCTGAGGTGTGACGGGAACCTGGGGACTCATCTATCAACTCCTGGCAGTGTGAAAATTGAAGAGAGAGAGAGCAATCGGGTTGTTCTCATCTTGGATGCCCATGTGATAGGGTAGACTGGCACTCTTCCTAGTCAAAAAATGCAGAAACTCTATAACAACATTCAGGTTTTAGGTTTGGAAAAAAGAGATCCCTTTCAAAGTCCAGAATAGTATTTGAGAAATAAAGGAAATATGGACACTGATAGCAGTGTGGTTGTGAGGAATGTTTATAGAGGAAGTCAAATGCAGCTTTATTGACATTTTATTGACCACTCATGGCATATTCAACACCTTTTCCAATCAGTAGGTCATACTCTATCACTGGATATGAAGTTGGCTCTATCATTAAGATTTGTATAAAAACATACTCTGATATTTTACAAAAAAAAATCACTGTCCGAACATTCCTTAAAACTTAGCCCTATTTTGCCTTTAGAAAAGCATGACTGTAAACTTTAAATTTTAATAGACAAAAGAACAAGTAAACACGACACACAAATATGTATAAACAGCACCAAGAGTCATCTCTACTCACACTTTCTCATAAATCTTATCGGGATGTTCTGGCCACTCGATCCTGCACACCACTCTGTTGGGCAGGGTCTCTGTGGTTGAGTAGTAGCCCTGTGGGAAGGCCAGCAGGAGAGCCAGGACCCAGATGACACAGATGACCACCTTGGTGGCTGTGGCTGACAGTCGGGGCTGGAGGGGATGGATGATGGCCATGTATCTGGAACAGAGAGGAACAAAGTTTCAATTTGGTCATTCAAACCTGTATTAGCAACTGCTTGTCATTCCTGTGAATGAATAATTCCTGGATGTCTTGATTATCACCAGCTTTTACAACTTTTAGGGATGTTGGTGGTGGTGGTTGTGGGGATGGTTTAGGCCATCAGGGCTTACTTCTGTTTTTGTGTGCAGGAATGACTTCTGGTGGTGCTCAAGAAACTATATGAGGTGCTAGGAATTGAACGTGGGTCAGCCATGTGCAAGCAAGTGCCTTGACCTCGTACTTTCTCTCTAGCTCCCAACTTAAAAATAAATGCTTTTTAAAAATAGTCTATTCTTAAGTTGTATGTCATAAAGTGCTAAAATCTATAAGAAAACTTCACTAGATATTTAGGAATTCCAGCAGCATTTCAGGAGTCTTCCAGCATTTCATTATTAAAACATCTGAGCTGGCTTAATGGCCACGATCCCAGAGACTCAGAAACAAATCTCAAATCCCAGTGGCTTTTGGCAGAAATGCGTCCAGTCCCTGCAGTTGGTTACCAGCGCTGGGCCTCCCAAGCTGGGAATAGGTCTCATGCCTTGGCCTGTTCCCCCTGACAGCCCGGTGGCTGCCATCATCCAGAGGCCTCTGGACAATCAGGTTTGGGCCCGCAGTGACGAGACATGCAGGGCCTCACGGGGTGGGGGTGGAGCTGGCCCTTTCCTCCCCACCCCAACAAGACCCCGAGTTGCCTCCCATGAACGGCCTTTCTGGCTCCTGATCAAGCTGCTTAACGGCCATGATCCCAGAGACTTAGGAACAAATTTCAGAACCCAGAAGGTTTTGGCAGAAATCCCTCCAGATTTAAGTGTTAAAGTTTCAGAATTTCAAAATCATGCAGCCACTTCTGCAGCCACGCAACATCATATGTTATTCTTAACCAGCAATAGAAAAAAAATTGTCTACTGTTGCCTTTTAAGCAGATCTGAGTGTTGGGGTAAAACCCCAAATAATAATGGTGGATCTGATGTCAAAATATTGAATGAGATCAAAGTAGAGATAGTGCAATGTGAAAATCATCTGCCCCACAGGTAGGGGGAGAGTATGGAATGGGGGTATACTGGGGGTTTTGGGGGTGGAGAATGGACGCTGGTGAAAGTACGGGTGTTTCATTTTATGACCTAGACTTAAACCTAAAAGCTTTGTAACTGCTCTCACAGTGATTCAATAAATAAAATTATAAAAAAATGAAAAAAAAGTAAGGTGGAGTTCATGACCAATTCAATCAGCTGATCAGTTTCTAATTGAATAGCAGTACTCCTACATAAGAAAAATAAAACATCTGAGCTGGGAAGATCTTGATGAACATAATGGGTATGTATGTCAGTGGCTAACAGTGACATACATAAGAGCCGTGTTGTGAATTAATTCAATATAAGGGCTCAATCCTTTATTGATTAAGGAATAATAGTGATACAAGTTTTTAAAATCCTTGTTGAGCGACAATTTAAAAGACAAGCAATCTTACATGGGTCCATACAACGTAAAAGGCAGTTGATGTGTGTTATGTGAGGTAGTATGGGCCAACAACAGGAAAATATCCATGAACCACCCTCCCCCCCAAAAAAAAATATCCCCCAAGAACTCCTGGAGAAAATTCCATTTCTTTGGATCTCTAGGAGTCAGTGGGGGGTTAATCACATGCTGCATGAGACAAAGATGGTCTCCGCCTGCCCAGATGCATTCCAGCATCTCAAAGATCAGGGTGGATGAGACATTTAAAAGAAGAGGGCCCTTCCTCTGCCTCCTTATGCCTGGGATGAGGCATTGAATGGAGTCATCTGAATATTCGTGTCTACAGGCTGCTATGAAGCTTTTCAGGTGCAGCACATTTGACGAATAATAAACCTTCTAATCAGCATTCCATATCAATTATAAGCACATAAATTCTGACACCTTCACTGAAAAATACATTCATCTCCATTTGTGTATTTTTCTGGCAAAATTTATGGACCCATCCATTGAAATATGCATGTCTTTTTTCCAGAGGAGATATTATGCTCATATTACTCATATATTTTCTGACAAAAACCTCAGGATCATGCACCAAATTCTTTGACATGCAGGTAGCCGGCTTCCCTGGGACAGAATAGTCAGTGGAAAATTCAGAAATGAACAGACAAGTAGCCTTACAGCTGTCAGCGGGCTCCACATAATTCTTTCTCTACATTTTCTGGACTCCTAGGATCTCTGGACCAGAACTGAGGCCAGGGTTACAAGTAAAGCAATTTCATTTCATATGCACTCGACAAATTTTCACTGGGTACCTGCTGAACTCAGAACAGAGCATTTCCTTCAGAGCAATGAGCTTTTAATTTCTCCAGGGAGAAATGGTGCATAAATAAGCTGCTCCAAAACACGACAAGAGAATGTGTGACCTCAAGTGGTCTCTGAGAAGTGCCTCGAGGAGGACACAGGATATTCAAGTCTTATGGGCAGTTGGTAGTGTGTTGGGTGAACTTAATGAGGTCTGCTTAACTGGATTTGGGGTGAGCCTGCTGAGTATTCGGAATCAGCCTTTCTTCCTTCTCCTCCTTATGACTTGTTCCCTATCCTGTCAGCTTGATGATTTAGCTTTAACTAAGGATTTCTTGAACATCACTTCATCATTCTAAACTTTAGAATATCTTTCTCCACATTTCCTATGAGAGGACACCCCCCAACAAGAGAAATGTCCTGTTGGTTCCAGAGTCTTCTTCCTTACTTTTCAGGGGCCACTAGGCAGGTGTGCTGAGCTTCCCCACACTAAGAGTGGAAAATTGGCTCCAACACCAGGGACTAAGCCCAGATTCTGGCTGATAATTTGGGAGGCTGAGGGGATGATGTGTCCAGAGTGCAGTGGGGTCCAGTTATGGCTCTGGTAGGTTCTAGCTGAGTTCTGGGACTAAGTGCCTTGGACCTCCATCCTCAGAGGTTCCTCAGGAACCCCTGAGGTTCCTCAGCCTTGGCACAGGGAATCCTACTCTCTTGTGGCTCTCATAGGGCTCAGGAGACCTTCACACAGTGAGACCCGTGCTGGCACTTCTACAGCCAATATGGCCAATAGCATGAAGATATTAGAACCTATAGGTTTGGTCCAGAGGGCAAATTCGGGCATCCTTGAGCAGGTACCAGCTCATTGCTTTGTGGCTGTGTTCCTCCAGGCAAACTGTTTTTTTTTCTTTTTTGGGTCACACCCGGCGATGCACAGGGGTTACTCCTGGCTTATGCACTCAGGAATTACTCCTGGTGGTGCTCGAGGGAATATATGGGATGCTGAGAATTGAACCAGGTTTGGCCCTGTGCAAGGCAAACGCCCTACCCACTGTGCTATCACTCCAGCTCCCCATAGACAAATTATTTGAAGGCTCTGTGCTGTCTAAAAGCAGCACCCTTGAGGTAGTCGTTGTGTTAGAATGACTCAGATCATAAACAATCAGAAGTCATGGTAGTCCCCAGGAAGGAAACACCCAACATCTCTTTCTTCTCCATCTTGGAAAGTATGTAGATGGTTCTGAAGTGAGAAAGGCGTGGAATTTAAAAAAGACTTGAAAAAGACACAGTGTGGGTGTGTGTATATGTGGCTCAGGAGACCTTCACACAGTGAGGTGAAGGGGTGGGTGGGTGGGTGGAGGAGTAATCTTCAAAACTCTGGTTAAGTTTCCCTGACTGAGTTAACGGCTATAAGGCCAGCCCTCAGACACCATCCACAGAGCATCAGGAGGACAAAGAAAGCTATCAAGATGCTGTTAATCATTGTCTGTCTTCTTTAGGTTATATATCACCACTGACCACTTCTAAAAGAAACCCAGGATACCACAGACATGAGGACTTTCTATTCCTGGGTGGTATCCTGAAAACAACTCTGTCTTTGAAATCTTAATTTCCTCTAGGATAAATCAGCATCCTGTGTTGGTCATAAGGTGGTGAAGGCTGTTGGGGGAAGGGTGGCGAGCAACATCAGAGCTAACAGAGGTCGATTTGGGTACCCACTGTCTTTGTCTTCTTTCCAATTCAATGGAAGCATGAACCTGGATGGTCAGTGCTAGAACATTTTTGAGTATTTACTTTAAATTAGTAGGATCACTTATTGGACCATTTCTCAGAGGCAATATCGTTCCTCTACAAAGCTGGATACCCAGTTTCTAAGACACAATACTTAGTTCAGCTCTGCCCAGACACCTGTGCTCTGCCTGTAGCTTCTCAGGCTTCCCAAGAGCTTTGGATGCACAGGAGAGAAAGTGATAATTCCATTGCCCCCTTTTTATATGACCTCAGATGCAATGTTTTAATTTTTGTTTAACTCAGGAAAAATGCTCAGTCTTAAATAAACATATCCTAACATAACACTCATTCGCATGCCCAAATTGGTGATACAGCGTTCAGAATCTAATGCGACTGGGGCTTAAGGGGGATTGCATCAACATATTGGTGCTACAGCTCCAAATGAGTGGTGAAAAGCCATTTTTTATTTTTACTGCAAAAATTGCAATTTGGGAATCAGTTTCCGTTAACTCTCTGCTGTTACTTGAGTGTAGAAACCATTTCCGTGACAGATGAAAGTTATACACATAAAGCCAGAGAGAATAAAAAAGATTGGCTTTTAAAAATATATGTATTTTTATTTGTTCAAAACAGAGCCATTTAGAAATCACCCCTTTTTTCCTTTGTCCCCTCTATTCCTTTTCCTTTCTTTCTCTCCCTCTTACAATCCTCACTTCTGGGGCTTCTTTCTTATATACTACCTCAAAGCTAGTGCCCCTGGACAATTGATCCTCCAATGTGTGTTGTTTCTTTCCTGAGGTGCATTTCTAGCTTGAATTCCATTAACATACATTTCTATATTTATTGGTACACCCTGAATAATCCTTGCTTATTTGATTACAAGTCATCGCTGAGTAAGTGCCATAAGCCCTAGAAAAATATATTTAATAAATATTTATCGACTGCTTTGTGCTCACGGGACTAGAAGGCAGTCA